TAAATTTACATACATTCCCTGAGCATCATCACAACATACTAAATGTGGTTTCCCCTCTAGAGTAAACTGCATAGTGGCTTAATCATGCATGTTGTCATCCATAAAATTCCATTACTACTTTCATGTATATATGTATTTCTTTGAAACTTAAAGCCTAGAAACAGGTTAGTATTCTGTTCAAATAGTCGGAACATGAATCTATTGATAGCTGAAGACAGGACAAAAGTCCTTAAAACCAGACAACAAAGCTTAGAAGAAAAGCAGCAATATTTTAGTCAAGTCGTAGAATACTGTTTCATCAGTTCAGTCTCATGTACTTAATCTTTCTTCTGTATCTGTTGAGGTTCGATGTTCCAGATTGAAATCTGGGATGTAATACTCAACTCCAGCTTTTGGCCCTACAATTAAGTTGCCCATTTTCTTAGTTTCTGAACTCTTATTTCTGTGTGTCTGCATTTAATTTTACTGACATAGCACTCCCTTAAGAACTTCTTGGAGATCCGGTCTGGTGCTGGTAAATTCTTTCAGGTTTTGTTTATCTGGGAAAGTTCGTGTCTTTTCTTCCCAAATGAACGATAACCTTGCTGGGTACAGAATTCTCGGTTGAAATTGCTTTTCCCTTAATACTTTGAATACATTTTCCCATTCTCTCCTCGCTCTCATTGTTTCCGATGAGAGGTCTGCCGTTAGTCTGATGGGATACCCTTTGTAGGTAACTTGCCTTTTTTCTCTTGCCAGTCTTAGTATCTTGTCTTTGTCTGTGGTTTTGGTCAATCTGGCTATAATGTGTCTTGGAGAAGATCTTCTTGGGTTGATTCTATTTGGGGTCCTCTGTATTTCTTGGGACTGAATCTTTGAGTGCCTCTCCAGGTTTGGAAAATTTTCTTGTAAGATTTCATGGAATAGATTATCAATGCCCTTATGAGTCTCTTCACCTTCTGGGATGCCTATTATCCGGATGTTTGGACGTTTGATGGTATCTAGTACTTCTCGCATATTATTCTCAAATTTTTGGGCCATTTTCTCAGTCTTCGTGGTGGATTTTTCTAGGCCAACCATTTTCTCTTCTACATTAGAGATTCTATTTTCTGTATGATCTAGTCTGCTTTTAATACTTTCAAGGGAGATTTTGATTTCTTGTATTATAGCCTTCATCTCTAGCAGTTCCGTTTGAGTCTTTTGTAAAGTGTGAAATTTCTCTTTTAGATCTTGCATGACTTTCCTCACCTCCTAGGACTCTTCAACTCCTTTCTCCTTCCTCTTTAGCAGTTCCTTGTCTCTCTTCTCTTCTATCTCTGTTAGTTTTGCCATTATGAATGTTCTGAATTCTTTATCAGACATTTCCATGATTTCCATTGAACTGTGTGTGGATAAAGAGGAGCTATCCTTTTCCCTTGTGGGAGAGATATTTTCCTGCTTCCCCATATTTCTTGTGGTCCTGCAGCGATTTCTAGTCATCTGGTGGATGGTCGGTTTCTTTCCAAACTTGGAAGTTCAATCACGTGAGTTTTGTATGCTGGAGGCCCAGTTATCAGTGTGGCATCTTCCTTTCTCCCAAAATGGCTAGATCGCAGGAGCCATGGAGCTGTCTGTCTCTTGAAGAAGGCCTTTTCTGTTCCCTTCTGCCTCTCCACACGAGTTTTGTATGCTGGAGGCCCAGTTATCAGTGGGGCATCTTCCTTTCTCCCAAAATGGCTAGATCACAGGAGCCATGGAGTTCTATCTGTAGACTTTTAAAGCTAAAGCCTTTGTCATTTTGTTTATTCTACTGTAATAAGTCACTAAACCCAGTATGTGCGATGTGCTACTCTTGTTACTACTGTTCTATTTTGCCTTTGTGGTGCTCAGTAGAGCCCTTTACCTGGGAGTTGTCTTTAGATTTATCATCGGAGTAATTCCAGGAGGACTTTATCTCACTCTTTTGCCTGCCCAAAGGAGAGTGGGTCCCACCCAAAGAGGTAGACTATCAATGGCAACTTTAAAGAGGGAAGGAAATGTAGAGCCATTAAGGCTGCAAGAAGGAAGCCAGGAAATCTCTGAGTTGGTCTGAACCTGATATATGACCTTGGAGCTTAGAAGGAAAAGCAAATGAAGCTTCCCCCAGGACATTTCTTAGAGAAGCTCAGTACCTTCTCTGGTTGTTCTAAACCCTTATCTGGGCCTCTTTGATCAGCTATGTGGTCTCCAGAGTGGATAACACTTCAGGTTCTAATACACCTGTTAAGAGGCTCTCTCTTTCTATCCTGAAGTCTGAGCTCACTTTCAGACTTCCCCCTAAGGACCCATTTTTCAGAAGTGCTCTGGCTATCTGCTCATTTGCATAATCTGAATGGCCAGTGTCTTCTGAGCTTATTAATTATCAAACTAGCACTGGTTACTAACCTTACCCACTTCCCCGAGAAATCACTGATGACTCTGGGGTGCCCAGGGTGGGGGGACAAAATGCTTCCCAGAATCCCTGAATTCTATTCTTATAATATCTGGATACCCTAAATTCATGGACCATAAAGTAAGAAGGTTGTTCTTCCAGGACAGAGAAGCCAGCATGGTGAAGATGGAAAAAACATCATTGTTAGTATAATCCGGGGTGGAAATTGAGGCAGTTATCCTGAGCAGGGCTCTTCTAGGGGAAAGCTTAGCCTAGAATATCCTAAGTAGGGAAGAATGTATCTATATGAGAGTCAGTTGGAGAGGCATTTCTGCCCATAGACACAGTAAGGACTGAACTAAGTTATTTTCAAATTATTGCCCTCCTCCCTTATCATGCTTTGAACTTCCTTATTGTGACATTTTGAGTCCCCAAGGTTGTCCTACTATCCTTGAGCTCTCCCTATTCT